CTACTGAAGTCATACAGTCACTAAAACCCTAAACCCTCAACCCCTAAACCCTAAACACCTAAACCCCTAAACCCCTAAACCCCAAACCCTAAACCCTAAACCCTAAACCCTAAACCCTATCAAGCCCAAGCCCTGGACGTAAGACCCTGGAACGCCGCCCAGGTGACTGGATCTCTTTGAGTTTGGGTTCCTATATACTACGTCTTACTCTTCATCTATGTTCCCTTCGTCATAGTTGGGTAACAGCTTTGATTTTTATGGATGTTTGAACTCAAGGAGTAATAGCAATGTCAAGTTTTAATATTAGCCCAACCATGAACTAGGTTCCCTTTGGGACACTCCTTGCCTGGCTACTGCCTGCCTGGCAGTCAGGGTGCGGAGGAGCACTGCAAAACTATGTTGACTTCTTGGAAGATCTATCTGAGGATGACACGGACTGACCCGGAGACACCAACACCGCTTAATTCAGGCATAATCCTTACATACCCTTAATGTAGGGGCCTAAATAATNNACCAATACTATGCTGGGGGTTCCTTATTATACTTAGAGTATGATATACCCCGAAACCCTATTCTAATTACTAAGGCCCCTATATTACAGGGACTCTTTATAAGGCCCTTTGATGCAGGGATATTGGTGTCCCCGGCAAGTGATGGGTGGCCTGGAGCCAGCCGCACCATGTCATCGTTCGTTAAACATGTTGAGTGCTCAGATGAAGACAAAGGGGCGTGGCTTTGAGGGTTGGGTGCTAGGTTCAGAGTGTGGAGGTTTGGGTTTAGGGTTTTGGGTTTTGGGTTTAGTTTTCGGTTGTGGTGTTTATGGCCTTGGCTCGGGGTAACGTTCCGTGTTCTTACCAGAGACCCCAAAAGACTGCTTACATCAGAGGTCTTCCATAAATCATGGAGGGATCCTTAGTACCGCTGTTCACGCGGATATCGCACAATCATGCGGGTGTTTAGGGGTTGAGGGCTTATGGCTGTTTGTGAGAGGATACGATTAGCCTGGACTTTGAGCCCTAAACCCTAAACTCTAAACCCTAAACCCTAAACCCTAAACCCTAAACCCTAAACCCTAAACTCTAAACCCTAAACCCGTGTTGAACAGCACTTAACGGGCCTACTTGCGACCAAGACGGCGTTGCCAAGCCGAATCCGAACACCCTGAACCTAATATGCGTGTGATGTTCGAGATTAGGGTTTGGGGCTTAGGATTTAGAGTTTAGGGTTCAGGGTTTAGCGGTTTAGGGTTTAGGGTTTAGGGTTTAGGGTTTAGGGTTCAGGGTTTAGGGTTTAGGGTGATCATGGTGATGGTGATGATTGTAGTTGTGAAAACCCTAAACCCTAATCCCTAAACCTTAAGACAAGTACGAGGGCGACGAGGAGGATGACGACCACGACGAGAGCCTTGACGAAGATTGGCTTGAATATGATGGTGATGATGCTGTTCAGGGCGGTGTTGCTGATGACAATCATGGAGATGAAGATGACGTCAACGAGGTGATGACACTGATGATGATGATGATTATGATGATGAGATGATGATGATGATGATGTTGTTGATGATGATGATGATGATGACGAGGGTGACGATGTGACAGACGTGTAATTAAGGTGCTCTTCATGCCCAAGACATGTATGGACAAGACTGTGACGTGTCCATGTCAGAGATGACACTGATGTGGATAGGTCTCGGCAAGGATGTTGAGACTGAGACGCACACATGACCATCGTCTGGTGGCGATGCTGATGACGATGTCTAAGTCTCAATACAACAAGCTGAGATTCAAAAAGGCGAAGACCCGGGCTATGTCGACCGCAACGGACATGACGATCGAATTATTTCTGAAAATCTGGATCCAAAGCCCTGAACCCTAAGCTTTATCCTGAAGCTCAAGCAGGGCAATCGGGAAGCTCATGATATCGGTGGCTTATGTTTTCCAAAGGCGCAGTCTTAGCAGCATCTCGCACCCATGAGACTCCAAATTGCAGCGCCGTTTCAAAGAAATCCATTTCGAGCTTAGGGATTTGGAATTCAGGGATTGAGGTCTCGACGAGGTTGTGTTCGAGATATGGCTCTCCGTTTAGATTTTCTTTTCAGCCTAAACCCTAAACCCCTAGACCCCTATACCGCGAACCCCTAAACCCTAAACCCCGCAGGTTTAAGCGGCAGGCTTCGGGGTTCAAGGTTTAGTTTAGGCTTTAGTTTAGGGCCCGGGGTTTAGGGCTTAGGGGTTTAGGGTTTAGTGTGGGGTTTAGGGTTTGTTGATGCAGGGGCCTAAATGCAATTGGATGTTCTTGAGTCTAGTTGTAGACGAATAATGCCCCCAAAAACCTATTCTAATTTTTCAGGCCCCTAAACCCTAAATCCTTATAGTAGCCCTTATAGAACCCTTCAAAGGAGCCCTTTAAAAGGAGCCTCTATTAGAATATGGTTAAGACCCTAAACCCTAAACCCCAAACCCTAAACCCTAAACCCCTGAACCCCTAAACCCTCAACCCTAAACCCTAAACCCCTAAACCCGTAAACCCCTAAACCCCAAACCCTAAACCCTAAACCCTTAACCCTAAACCGTAAACCCTAAACCTTTAACCTGACAGGTGAAAGTCAAGCCTGGCACCAACACCAAGGCGGATTGGGATGCGCTGGTCCGAAGCTGGGCTCTTATTACCCTACTTGGAGGGTCGGGAGACTTAGTAAGTGGGTAATAAGTAGACTTATAAGTACCCTAAAAGGGACCCTAATTGGGGTGATAGTACTTACAAATCTCGAAAATAACCATTTACTAAGTCCCCCGACCCTCCAAGTAAGGCTGACAATAGCCCAAAAGCCTTACATAGTATGGTCTTTGGGCCCAAAAGCCTTCAAATATGAGTCCTTAGAGCCTTAGGGTTAAAGGCTTAGGGTTTAGGGGTTCAGGGGTTTAGGGTTTAGGGTGTAGGGTTTCTGGGTTTAGGGTTTAGGGTTTAGGGTTTAGGAGTTGAGGCGTTTAGGGTTTAGGGTGTAGGTTCAGGGTTTAGGGTGTAGGGGTTCAGGGTTTAGGGGTTTAGGGTTTAGGGTTTTGGGGGTTTAGGGTTTGCGGGGTCTAGTGTTTAGGGTTTCGGGTTTAGGGTTTAGGGTCGGTTTACCACGGCTCTCCTTGTACCCTCATTTGGGGGTAAGTGGTCCCACGGAATGGGTGCTTAGGCTCCAATAGAGGGTCTATGTCAGTTATCCGGTTCGAAAAACAGGGTATTCACCTGAGGTCCCAATTATGGTTACCATTAACCCTAAACAAGTAAACCCTAAACCCTAAACCCTAAACCCTATTGAGGTAACGTAGTCGAGCTCCTTAGCAAGAGCCCAGGAAGAGGGCAGGAGATTCGGCTGAAGAACGAAGAGTCCAAGCGCGCGAAGTTAGAGGCCTCCTGTTGCCTTTTGATACATTGGGATCCGCCTGGGGATGGGTTTAGGGTTTAGGGGTTTAGGGGTTTAGGGGTTTAGGGTTTAGGGTTTACGGTTTAGGGTTTCAGGGGCCTTAACAATTACGTTTAGGGTTTAGGGCCTTAGCAATTAGAATAAAGTTTTGAAGTATACTATAGTAGCCACTATATTATAACCATATTAGCATTAAGGGTTTGGAGTATATGATACTAAATAACTAGGAACTATACTGTAACGATATTGGGGACTTGAAGGGGAACAATCAACCCTAAACCCTCAACACTAAACCCTAAACCCTAAATCCCTACACCCTAAACCCTAAACCCTGGAATAATACTACCAATTCGTCAGGCTTCCATGTTCGTGGACAGTGCTCGTGTCGTGAACTTCGCCACGAAGTCGAGGGGGGTGTAGGAGGGTTAGGCTCGGGTTGGGTTTAGAGTTTAGGGCTTTTGGTTTAGGGCTTAGGGTTTCGGGTTTGGGAAAAAAATTTGTCGTGGTTTCAGAAGTTGTTCAAGGGCCTTTTCAACTCTGACTCTAGCCCTGAAGCCCTAAACCCTTTAAACGAGGATGCTTATGCCCACCACACCCAGAGAGCCCACGACCCCTTACTTCAGGTGCCTGAAACCATCATATTAACTTAGGCCCACCTTCAGACCCATCACACCCCCTGCGAAAAGGCCAAGACAACGACAAGGAAAAAGAGGAAGCAGAGAGTATCTTCTCTGCAAAACGTCGGAAAGTTTTGGGGTTTGGGTTTAGGGTTTAGGGTTTAGGGTTGAGGGGGTTTGGAGCTTTGGGTTTAGGGCTTAGTCGCTTTCTGAAGGGTTGCGACGGTTGCTACTGCTCCATTTCCTTTAGCGACACTATCTCCTCTTCTTCGTCTACTGCTACTAGTCCTGCCACAACAGAAGTTTTTAAGCTTGTGACTACTGTTGCCCGAAACCCTACACCATACACCCTAAACCGCTCTGTTGCTAGGCCCCTTGCGAATGACAGGATTTCTGGTGGTCTCAGGCTCAGGTTGCCAGCCAGTTTGGCATTCCAGGGCCTATTAAAATTAACCCGAAGCTTTCGGGCTGAGGGGGGGGGGGGTTAGGGTTTAGGGAAGTGTTTAGGGTTAGGGGATTAGTAAGGCCCATACATCTATCTTGCTAGGCGCTTGGTAGGGCTGTTCTGAGTTTTTCATAGCAGACCGCGGAGGGATGATTAAGAGTTAATATAGAGGCCTTAATAAGTATGAGGATAGGGTTTTGGGGTATGTTATACTATAGTTCTAACAAGAAAACCCTAAACCCTAAACCCTAAACCCTAAATAGTATAGGTAATTCTTGAGGCACCTCCGGTAGCGCGATTTTGTGGGACCTAAGTGGGCTTCGCGTTGAGGTCCGAGGATAGGTCCCAAAGCGTACACCGCTGCGGGGAACTCCTAGAGGGTTTAGGGTTTAGGGTTTAGGGTTTAGGGTTAAGGTCAAGAGTTGTGCTCGAGGGCTTAAGCGATGATGGCTGCACTTGAATTTTCGTGTCTCGCCCTATCTCCTCAACCCCCAAAGCCTAAGCCTATAAGACCCGAAACTTTCTAAACACACAACCCTAAACCCCCAAAGCCGAAACCCATGAGACCGTAACCCTAAGGGTCCATGTACCCAAATAGTATATACTTTGGTCCCAATGTACCTATATAGGGACTACTTCAGGGGTTTAGGGGTTAGGGGGTTTAGGGTTTAGGGTTTAGGGTCTAGGGTCTAGGGTTTAGGGT